GGTGATCAGGCTGGCAGGCAGAAGCAGTTAGAAGTAATCAGGAGGGCAGGCAGGTAAGCAGTTGGAAGGCAGCAGCTCTGAATTGTGAACTGGCAGTAGGACATCCCTCGAGGGGTCCCAGATTGGAGAGGGTGCAGGCTGTCTGAGGGACACCCCCCACTTCATGCATGAATTTCATGCACTGGGCCTCTGGTTCTAATATATAAAAACCCAGGGTTTGTAATGTCCAAAATGTCAAAAGGCTCGACCAAATGCCAGGCTAGGGAGCTGAGGGAGCAGGAGCTGACCAATCAGTGGCAGCGGTGGCTGAAAGGCAGACCTCATCCCAGCCCTCAGACTCCAATCAAGCAGTGGCGGAGGTGGGATGGGACTGGGGACTGGCTCCCTTCATAGTCCTCCAGGTTCAATATCAAGAGGACAGGCCAGGCGATGATGGACCAGTGCTGCTGGCACGATCCTGCCGGCCTCCTGGAACATGACCTCAGGCACTGCAGCCACTTCCCCTCCCTAGACGCTCTACAAGGTCACTCCACAAGATCACTCGAGCCCGCCCTGCTCCAGATGAAGTGTGATCACTGCACATAGGAGAAATGTAGTAAAAAAACAAACAAACCGATGACCAAGGCCCGCCTCCACAAGCTCATGGGAGCCTCCGAGCACTGGGCGCCTGGACTATTTTAGGGGCTTCAGGTGAGTGGGGGGGACACAGAGGGGTCAGGAAACCCTTGGAGTTTGGGCTGTAGGACTGATTGCAGATCCATCCATCCTGTCGTGTGTCACCAGTGCCTCTGTGAAGAATGGTTGTATATAAAACAGAATTTTGTGGTTCCACAGTATTCCACCTTGTTCTTAGTTACTTAACCAGCCTCTAATTTTTGTATATGTGGCTTGTTTCTGATTTTTTTTTTTATTCTTATGAACAACTAAGTTAGGGGTGTCGAACTCAATCAGAGAAGGGGCCAAAATCTAAAATCCAGCCTAAATCGCAGGCCGAATGGTTTACTGAACAGTCATAAACTGTCATTGTGATGGAAACGCAGCGGAGTGCAGTGATGACAGCGCGGTGCGGGCCACATTGCAAGGCCTGGCAGGGCAGATTTGGCCCGCGGGCCTTGTGTTTGACACATGTGAACTAAGTGATGAACAGTTTTCTAGCTACATATGTGAGCTCATCCAAAAGTATTTCTTCAGGAAGAATAGTAATTGTTGAATAATAGGTGTATATAGTTCTAATGATTTTGACATATATTCTACCTGGGAGGTTTGTAATCAATTTCTATTTCACCACTAGCTTCTGAGATTTAATTCATCTTGAGATACACGTTAGGTAGTCTAAGCCAATGGTGGTAAGTCCATATCCCTTTCAGTGACTAGTCGTGGGCACATGACATGATTCTGGCTCTAGACTGAAAGGGACATCTCTTTGTAGGCTGTTAGGAAGAGGGTTCCTCTTCAATGAAAAGAGATGCCGAAGGGGAGGTCAGAAACTAGTTCCTGAAGTGGAAGGGGATGTCTAGAAACTAGAGCTGTTGAAGCCATAGGGGCCATGGAGGACAAGAGATATGCAGAGGATGAAGAGGGAAAGATGGAAAAAATGGGTCCTTGACAGCACCGTGAGCCACCAAATTAACCACCAGGGACCAGCTCCAGACCAGACTCTTTTGTGTGAGATAATAACGTTCTGATTTTCTGAGCTACATGTAGTCAGGTTTTCTGTAAATTGCAATGAAAAAGTCCCACCTGGTTAATAAGCACAAATTATATGTAATGGTTTTAATTTTCGTTTTCTTGATTACAGCAAGCTTAAATTTGTTTTCAACTTGACCACTTTTGTTGCTTCTTTTGAGAATTGCCTTTTATGTCTGTTGCCATTTTCTTGTAGGGATATTGCCTTTATACTGATTTATAAAAGTATCTTATATTTAAAATATTAACCCCCTGTTGTAAGTGCTACAAATATGTTTTCTATATCCAAACTTTTTCCACATGTTGAAAATTTTCTGTATTTAACATATAAATATTTTTCTGATTTCTTCCTTGCTTTATGTTTAGTAAGTATTTTGTCACAGAGAAGATAGATATTATCTATACTACCTTGTTTCCCCAAAAATAAGACAGTGTCTTATATTAATTTTTTCTCCCAAAGTTGCGCTAGGTCTTATTTTCAGGGAATGTCTTATCTTTCCATGAGCTAGGTCTTATTTTCGGAGGATGTCTTATTTTTGGGAAAACACGCTAGTTATTTCATAGTTTATTTTATTATTTTTTAAAGTATATTTTTATTGATTTCAGAGAGTAGGGGAGAGGGAGAGAGAGATAGATATATCAATGATGAGAGAGAATCGTTGATCAGCTTCCTCCTTCATGCCCCCACTGGGGATTGAGTCCACAAGCTAGGTTTGTGCTCTTGACCGAAATCAAACCCCGGACCTTTTAGACCAGTGTTTTTCAACCTTTTTTGGGCAAAGGCACACTTGTTTCATGAAAAAAATCACGAGGCACACCACCATTAGAAAATGTTAAAAAATTTAACTCTATGCCTATATTGACTATATATAAAGTAATTCTCTTGAATAGGAATAAAATAAACACAAAGAAAGTATTTTATAATTACTTTATTATGAAATATTAAGTAAACAAAATAGTGAAAAATTATAAAATTCTTGTCTTGTCTGCACCTACGGCACACCGGCAACATCTGTGCCGCGGAACAGCGGTTGAAAAACGCTGCTCTAGAGCTCCTTCTCTTTCCACTTTACTTGTGGTATTATCATTATGCATATTACATCTATTCATGTTATAAATCCAAGAACACATTGTTGTAATTATTGCTCTATCTCTAGTGATTTTCTTGGACCAACACAGCTTTGCTCCCACCCACCTCCTTTGTGGTGTGATTGGCAAGTGTATGGCACATATATGACAGTTCTGTAACACAGCATCGCTCAAGTGCCTGTAGCTCCATATCCCTGTTCTTATGCTTCCTCACTGGGCATGTGTGAGGTCTACTGGCTTGGCGCTGTGTCTCAGGCTGTTTATACTAATCCCTACAGCTGTTGAGGCTGCACTTCGGAAATGCCATTGTAATATGAAAGGCTCTTCTAAAAATATAGAGTTTTTAATCTTCTAAAGTCGGTGCTAATTGGAACTGGAATACTCACAGCTCCTGTGCAACGACAGCAAAGATAAAGCCCACTTACTTATCTCTGCCTTCCACCTGCCATGCTTCTGGGAAGCCTTTCCCACCTAGCAGGGCCAGGAAAAGTTTAATTTACATTCCAGGTAAGATCACAGTGGATGAGCATGCATAATGTCTTGTGAGGAGACTCAGCCACTCCGGAGAAAATGACTGGTTCCTCTCTGTGGAAGGCCAGCCCCTTCTCAGAAAAGAGTCTGAAATGCAAACTAGTCCCACTGAACTGTCAGATGAGTTTTTGAGGGTGGAGAGGTGGCCATGGAACACCGGAGCTCAGGACTCACTCTCCATCCATTCCACTAACATGTGCATACCATGAGCTCCTGCCCAGCCTCTGCCAGGCCCTGGGACCAGCCCCTGCCTTATGGAGCTCACAGGCCAATGAGGAGGGATGTGACATGATGAAAGTCAAATAAAGTATAACTAACTACAAACGGTGATGGAGCGGAGGGTGTTACTAATATAGGAAATAGTAGAAGGAATCTCCTTGCTATTGGATTGTGGGAGAGGATCAGGGCAACCACCCGGGTCTAAGGGATGAGGCAGATGTGATTGGGAAAGGTATTCCAGGAAGGGGACTCTGTGGTGGGATGCTTAACACGTTCCTCAAGGAATTAGCATGATCAGAGCCAATGAGCAAAGCCAAGAAGGCTATTAAGGTTTTTAGGAGAGGTGGAAGAGAGAGGTCAAGGTCAGAAGACCGAGTGCCTTGGAAGAGGAAGACTTAGGATTTTATCCTGAGCCCCATGGGAAGCCTGGACAGTGGTTTGAGTGGGGCCTGGTGGGTCTAGGGGTTACATGATCAACCTTTGCCTTCTCTGAGGATAAAGGATTGAAGAAGCAGAAATGGATGGGGGGTATCAGAGTGAAGATGAGAGGGGATGGCTCTCAGCATTCTCAGCCACTTGACCAACTTCACCTTCTGCCTGCATCCCGAGGGGGAGGGAGCAGCAAGGGTGTCTGCTGCACATCAGCTTGGTTTTCTGTGTCTGAGGGATGAGGCAGCTGGGAGGGTGGAGGTTGGTGTGACACTGGCCTGGGGGCCAGCAGAGTTACAGGCCTTTGTTTCCCGCTGGCCTGCAGGATTCTTGCCCTTGGGAAGAGACTGCTTGTTTCTGCCCTTTGGTAATGCGCAAGCACCTCAGTTATTTTACCCTCAGTATCTCTCCTGCCATCGCCTTTGTTCCAGCCTCTGTGCTGATGTCTCCTTTCCGCCCTGACCTCCTTTTCCTTGGCTTGCTGCAATGGATTTCTGACTTTCCTGTAGCTGGTTTTAGAAGCTCCAATATCGTCTGTTAATCATGCCTACCTTGAACTCTGACTCATTTTTCCAGATCATAGTTTTCAGGACGCCACTCTGCTGACTTTTCCTTGGCTCATCTTCATTTGCACTGAAGTTTCTTAAGTATTTCTGCCTTTTCATGTCCTGCTCCCTGGATTATCGAACATCAACAGGACCATCCTTCTGGCACTGTGGCCTTTGATTTCCTAGCTTGCCTTGGAAATTGGCCCTGCCTGTCAGAGTAGTGTAATCCCTCCCATGAGGGACAAGAGCACATTTTTTTATGCTGTTCATTACTAGCCTCGGTCGCCATATTTGCCATCCAACTGCATGGTCCATGAGGGTAGACATGTGGCATGTTCCTCACGTCGCTACCCTCCTTAGTCCTGGGCTCGGCAACACTGAGCACACTTGGACACATGCACCTGAAATTATTTTCTGGCTTCACCACCCTCAGAAGCACCATCAGTTTAGCAATGAGTCACTGTGTTCTTTACAGCTGGATGCCTACTTTCCTCCTCATCCTGCTTTGTCTCTGAGCACCGATTGTGCGAGCCAGTGTTTTAAAGGAATAGAGAGCTAGACGTTTTTCTCAGCCAGGGTAAAAGCAGTTGCAATTTTGCCTCTACACTGTCAATTGCTCAGTTTTGAGGTCCCTTCCTCAGTGATGAGAGGCAGAGGAAAACCTGCCCCATTTTCACCTGTTCTGCCACAAGTTAATAATGTAGCTCCCAACGACTGATTTCTCACGTACTTTTACCAGGTTCCAGGGATATCACAGCTCTTAAATATCAAAGAAAGCGAATCAGTGCCTTCCTGGATTAATTAGGAAATGTCTCACAACTTAGCAGGCCCATGGTGTTCTACCAACATTGCATACCCTTCCCATGCCTGCCTTCCCCACAAGCACTTTCCAACTTCCAACTCAACTCAAAAATAACTTATAAAACACTGACAACACTAAACATAGGTGAGAATTTGAAGCAAAGACAATTCTCCTGCATTGTTGGTAGGAGGGTAAAATTGTACAACCACTATTTTGAAAGAAGGCTTTCCATTTCCTATGACATAAATATATGTGTATGATATGAATCACTCCCAGGTCTTTACCCAAGAGAAATGAAAACATGTGTATAGAAAGACTTATACCCAAATATACCTAGCAGCCTAAGCATCCACCAATACAAGAATGTATAATCAAACTGAGCACTCATGCAGTGTGTACTCACACAGCAGTAAGAGGGAGCACACAATTGATACACACCATGGCATGGAACATTCTGAGTGAAAGGGTATGATTCCATTTATATGACCTTCCAGAGCAGGCAAAACTAACTTGTTAGAAGAAATCAGAGCAGTAGTTGCCTCTGAGGTTGAGAGCAGGAGTTACAGAGGGGTCTTGAGGGAACATTCTGGGCTGATGGTGATGTTCTTCATCTTGATAGGGGTTCGGGCTGCTCAGGTGTATACATTTGTCAGAACTCAGAATGTACTCTTAACCTTGTGCATTTCATTGTATGTTAATTTTCATTAAAAATAAAAACTGTGCACAAATATTAAACTTGATGATTTTCATGCTGAAGCATTTGGGAGGAAATATACTATTTCTTCAATGATTAGTGGTGTTGAGCATCTTTGCATATGCTTGCTGACCTGTATATCTTTGGAGAAATTTCTATTCACTTCTTTTGCCCATTTTTTAATTGAGTTACTTGCTTTTTCTTGTTGAGTTGTATGGTTTCTTTATATATTCTGGATATTAACCACTTAATAGCTATATGATTTGCAAACATTTTCTCTCATTTCATAGTTGTGTTTTCACTTCATTAATTGTGTCCTTTGATGTGCAGTTTTTAATGCAGTCCAATTGTCTGTTTTTATTTTTGTTACCTATGCCTTTGGTTTCATCTCCCCAAAATCATTGCCTAATCCAGTGTCATGAAGCTTTCCCCCTATGGTTTCTTCTGAGTTTTATACAGTAGTTTCAGGTATTACAATAACATTTATGTTTATGATTCATTTGTGGCACACACTTTTATGATTGAATATGAAATAAATATATGTGTATGTTATGAATCACTCCTAGGCCTTTACCCAAGAGAAATGAAAACATGTGTATAGAAAGATTTATACCCAAATATATGACATAGTTTCTTAATGTCTGAGGCAGCCTGGACGTATGGAGTCATGGTTATAGTAACGAACTAAATTTTCTAGGCTCTTTCTTCCCTTTGTTACAACCTCCCATAAAGTCTCTGACACTGTTCCTGGGAGCACTAGAGGGCCTCCCCTATGCTCATGGGCAGGTTCAGTCAGCCACTGTAGTGGATTGCTATATACCATCATCCCATTCACCTAGGCGTCATCAAGTCCAGTGAAAACCACTGCCTTGTGCAGACCTAAACCACCTCTGCACCACTGACACTTCTGCCAGACACACCTATACTTTTCCATCAAACACTACCACTTCCCATAATCCACTGCTGGTGCTTCCCCCGCCTCTATGGGGACTGCCAGCACCATCCAGGCGCTGTATCATGTCTGGGTTGACCTGGGGGAGCATGTTCCCACCACTTTATGGTGGCACATCATTCTATCAAGGCTTCCTATCTTGGGTTTTGTTTTTTGTTTTATTTTAGAAGTGTGGCACTTTCAGTATTTGCTGACAGTGTCCTCTCTCCTTAAAACCCAGGCATGAGTGCAGGGGGGTGAGGCTGAGCTAGGGACATCCAGTGGCAGGGCAGGTACTATGCTATGCCCACAGCAGCTCTCCATTCTGATAGCAAAGCTTTGTAACTGGGTGATGCACTTCCCCATGAGGGTGCTCAGTCGTTCAAGCAAGTGGGCTTTGATCTCCTACCTTTCAGTACTCCAGCTCAATGTTCACTAGGAAGCCATGTGAGTGGTGGTGGAACCACTGGGCTCAGGAGCACAGCCTACCTGCCATGCTGAGCACTTGCTGGAGTGAGCCATGCACCCAACAAGCTTCTGGGTGGGTCCTACTGAGTGAAACCAAGGTCACACTCCTGAGGAATCTCTGTTCTTCACTTAGATGGGATATTTATCACATACCGGCCAATATTTATGAGTTAATTTAAATCCTACAATGAAACAAAATACAACATCTCACCAGAAAACAACAGCAATGCTTCCATTATGCATCACTGTTGACACACTTTTAATTTTATTCTAGTTGCACTGTCTTACCACTGAAACATTGGCATCTGTTGTGGCAGTAATTCAAAGTATTCCAACTCAAGGGGGATGGAAAAAAACAGCACAAAATAAGCTGGCAGAGAAGCCAGGGGAAAACAGAATAAGAGCTGCAGCCTGGGGCTTTCAGCAACCTGTTGGGCTTGCAGGGGTCATGTGGCATAGGCGGACCCTGGAGCTTCCCCTGGGGAAAGAGGAAAATTATTGTCCTTCATGTCTGCACTGCTTACTGGACTTGCGAATGGGTTTTCCAAAATTGTGTATACAGTAGATTCTCGGGTTACTTACGAGATCCATTCCTACAGTGCAGCGTAATGCAATTTTCACTGTAAGTCAGAACCCACCTACGTAAGCACCTATGTCACTCACATGGAGCACATACAAAGCAGTAATGAAGTGAAACAGTAAAAAAAGTTTAAAAGAAAGATAACAATTCCTGACCTTTACTTGTGGTAAATAAATTATAAAGCACATATGTGCATACGTTGAAATGATGGAACCTTTTTTTAATAAATAAACTAGAGGCCTGGTCATAAAATTCGTGTATGGGGCAAAGGTCCCCTCAGCCCAGCCTGCATCCTCTCCAATCCAGGACCCCTCGGGGGATGTCCAACTGCTGGTTTAGGCCCGATCCTGGGAATCAGACCTCTCACAATCCTGTACTGCTGGCTCCTAACCGCTCACCTGCCTGCCTGCCTGATCACCCCTAACTGACCCTCCTGCCAGCTTGATCACCTCTAACCACCTCTGCCTGCTGGCCAGATTGCCCCTCACTGCCCCCCATGCCAGCCTGGTCCCTCTTAACTGCCTCTGCCTGCCAGTTTGATTGTCCCCAACTGCCCCACACCCCGCAGGCCTGGTTGCCCCCAACTAACTCCCCTGCCAGCCTGGTTACCCCACGCAGCCTGCTGCTCATCATTTGTTCATCCCTCACTAACCCTTCTGCTGGCCAGTCACCCCACGCAGCTTGTCTGGTTGTCTGTTCAGTTGCGATGGTCGCTTAGGCTTTTATATAGATATATAGGAGATGGCGACATAACCACGCAATGATGTATATCGCGTCCGATGTAAACCAAGGACTGCCTGTAACTAACAATTGTACTGATAAATAGATGTTGTGAGGCTTTAATGAGATGATGGAAGGAATGCATCCAACACAATTTAGCTCAGTAAATTCTACTTTAAAAAATAACTTTCTATTTATTTTAAAATGCACACTAAGGGGATAGTGTGATATGGGAGAAAGAAAACGGGCATTGGAGTCCTACAATTGTGATTCAGAGACACTACTTAATAAAGTAACCTCTTAATTTACCCTGGGAACCTCATCCTTCTCATCTATAATGTGGAGGCATCATCATCTTTAAAAAAATTGCTGAGTAATTAGATGAGATACAGTTCCTAGCACGCCATCTAGTTCATCACCAGCATCATGGCTTAGTAATAACATTTAATGCTTATTGATCACCGGCTGAATGCCCAGCATTTAGTTTAACATTCTAGGTAGGTGCTATTACTATATCTATTTGACATAGATGAAATTCAGGAAACTGAAGTTCTGACAGGTTGACTTGCCTAAGGTCAAGTCAATATCATTAATAAATTCTCATTTTTAAAATAGAAGCCATATCAGTTTAATGTCCAAGCTTATGAATTTGACCTGTCAGTTTGACCTATCTCATTGTTGTGGGACTTTCTCCAATGAGGCCAGCGAAGGAAGAGAGAAAAGTTAAATGGTGCTAGGAAGTCTCTGTTGGAATAGCTCTGTGTGAAATGACTACAGACCAGAGGGTGTGTGCCTGAAGGTGGGCAGAGGGGGCATAGGGGTGTTAGGACACTGACATGAAACAAGAAAAGTAGTGAACTGAGGCAACTGGATTAGAAGTCAGAGGATTAGAAGGTGAGGTGAAGCCCCTAATGATTCACCCAGCAGGGCTCTGGACCCAAGGGCTTCTCATGGCTCCTCCGTGGAAATGGAAACAGTCTTGTGTTGTGCTGACTGGTTCCAGCAGGAGATGCTTGTGGAAATGGAACCACAGCAGGAGGAAGAAAGCATGGTGTCCCAGCACCACTCACTGTATATAGACTCTTCTCTAAAGATGTCCACGGTTGCCGAAACCGGTTTGGCTCAGTGGATAGAGCATCGGTCTGAGGATTGAAAGGTCCTAGGTTCGATTCTGGTCAAGGGCATATACATTGGTTGCGGGCGCATCCCCAGTAGGGTGTGTGCAGGAGGCAGTTGATTGATGTCTCTCTTTCATCGATGTTTCTAGCTCTCTATCCCTCTCCTTTCCTCTCTGTAAAAAAATCAATAAAATAT